GACGGAATTTTCCTCGAAAAAGCATAATTTTCCTACCAATCGTTTTCCGACGGAACTCAACGACGGAATTCCGTCGTAAACTTGTTTTGCGACGGATTTAAAGACTTCAGCGACGGAAATTTTCGGTCGGAAACTGGCCATTTTCTTGTTGTGTGTGTGCCTGGTTGAAAGTTTGTTGTATGCCTTTTTTAGAAAGAAAAAAGGGAACAAGGGATTATGATTGATGAATGATGAGAGCATAGTATAGTTTGGTGTCTTGGGTTGGATGTGTGGTGTATACAATGTTCTCAATGATCATATGTTGTAAAGAACACTGCATGTGCCTTTGGGTTTGTGTTTATGTACATTCCAGTGCATTAAAGAGTCCATCCTTTGTGTTTTATGCAACAGTAAAAGTATGAAGTCCCCCTTCCTGTATGAAAAACCACCCAAATTCAGTTTAATGGTCCATATGATGAAGGGGCTCCAATGAATTTCATTTCACACATTAGTTTTTCTCCAACAATCTCTTTTTTGAGATTGTTGTTGAGGTAACAATGTTGTGAAGTGTAGTATTCAATAACATTTAACACCTTCTGATGGACTAGTTTGTTCACACCCAACAATAACTTTTCCTTTTCATTACATTCATAGGGTGATTACAAAAGTTCATGCACATCATCAAAAGACTTTACATTTGACTGCCTAACATGTTAGCTCAATTTAAATCATTAAAATACATCTAACCACCTATTCATAAAGATAAACACCATAAAAAAAGAAAAAAAAAAGTTATGTGGTTATGTGTGGCAGTCCATGTTGTTCTTATGCATATGCATGTTGTCCTCATTGGGGTCCCCTAATCTACATCAACTTCCATATCCTCTGCTGCTTCTTGAGTCCCTTGAGTTGTTGGCCTAAATTAAACATTGTGTTTAGATACTCTACACTGCCCAACACTATGTCCTTCTGTATCTCTACTTTGTCTGGCAAAATACCCAAATTTTCCAACTTCTTTTTGTTCATGTGAGGAATTTTGTACTTGTTCCCCCCTCCGCCTACAGTATCTTGATCATGAACTTTTGCAAAGTAATTCAAATGTACTTATTCACCTCAAGTTGGAATGCTTGAAAAGACTCAATGACCTTCTCTATTAGATCATTTAGGTTGCTAGGAAATTATTGATATTGTAGTGACTGAATAGACCTGAATAATCCTAAGTGTAGCACATTCAAATCTGGTGACTGTGGTGGTTGGAACACTAGTTGAATGTTGAATCCATTTGTTGGTGTTGCTGCAATGAATTCTTCATCTCTTGGGATTTGGTGTGGTCTTGCATTGTCCCACTGTATTGTAACATTTTTTGGTAGACTTTCTGGCCATTTTGAGATAATTGATGGTATGTGTTGTGCTTAACTTGAATTTTTTCAGTTCGGGGTTGATGAAACAATAAGACTGGCTGCTTCATTTTTTTTTTTTTTGTGAAGAAGAAGCTGTCCTATTGGGTTCTATGGATGATGGAGGTGTCAATCCAATGAAGCCTCTGATCTGTGAAGATGAGCAGACTATAGTTAGGGTAATTTTTTGAGTAATTAAATGTATTTAGTGCTAACTTTTGGAAAACTTTGGTGTAAATTTGAACAATTTCATGGCTTGTACTTTTGGGAAAAACATTGAATGCTTGTGTATTATTTAAGGCTGCTTTTATATGCCTCATAAATGATGAATGATGAATGATGAAAGCTGTCTTTATTTTTTTAAAATCGGGTAGGAGATTTGAATCTCCAAAAAATTCAAAGTTTTTGAAATTTTGCTGAAAATTTAAGAGGGAAAACTCATTCCCTCCTTCTTTGATAGATTTCCCCACTAAATTGCAAGTGGGGGGGGGGGGGGTCCTACATTCTCTCTCCTCAACTTTTAATCAATTCTCTAATCTTTGCCCATTAAATTTTGCATCGTGAATCACAAACCCTCCCAAAGTTGCAGAAAACATTTAACGAAGGTAGTATTAATTATAGATAGATTATAGATGTAGGATCATTGACCCTTACTAATCTTACACAATCATGTACGATAATGTATGTTTCTGATTGATCTAGATTAGCAATGATCCGAGTGAAAAAAAAGATCATCGATATGATCCTAATCGATCTGGTACAATCTTACACAATCTAATTGCTTGATCTCGCAACATTTCTATCTCATCTACAATTTTGCTTTCGATACTGATCATTTGTCTAAAAACGGATCGTAGGATCGTGTTCCTTCTACTAATTTAAGCACCGAACGCTGAAAAATATAAAACTAGTCTTAAAATACTCGAATCAAGTTCGAAATATTGTTTATTAGAACAAATAGCATTAAGTTACATATTATTGTTTCACAATGTACTATTTATGACAATTTATCTTCACACATGTAAGTTCAATTATGATCTTATGTACATACACAGATACACATAGATTGACATTATCCAAACATGAAACATCCACATACTTAGCAATTAGCATCAACTATAAGAAATCGACATGACACATAAGCGATTTGACTTATCAGAGTTACTCTAAAACATCTAATACAGAGTACTAAATAATCAATATACTTCATGTTATATGCTTCCAAACATAGAATTACGTTAGTTTAGAGCCCTAGAGTTTTACTTAAATCTAAAACCTTTTGCTTAGATTATTCCCAAATCAAATCATCATTTGTCTCTCTTATTTATATATAATTATAATATTCCAAAAACAACAGTATCATAAAATCGCATTATATCTTTCACTAGAGTTGTTTTCTTATAAACTAATACCTCGATGTGTCTGTACTTGATATCAATAAACTATCTACTATATTGAATATAATCCTCCGTGGATCGAATTTGAGGCAATTGGTAAGTCAAGGGACATATTGTGGCTTGGAGTGGATCTAAAAAACAACCACAACTCAAAGGAAAGGACATGATTCAATCAAAGATAAATGTATAAAAACAAAATAAAAATGGGATATCAACATCCACAAAGAATAATTGAAACAAAAAGACAAATTCAACATTAAGAGACCTAATTTTGAGGTGTCGAATGCTGGAGTTCCATGCCCTATCGTTGGAACATGACCCCATTAGCTAATCCACTTAACCAATTAGATTGCATACATTTGGATTGAGGTTCAATCCATCAACCAATCAGATCAACAGGAGACCAACAAGTGGGTCCCAAAAAGCGTAAATCGTTGTCTTTTGAAAACTAACAAATTTAGTTTGGACCTACATTTATCAAATTAATCATGTAATACAGTAATTGAGATAAAGTTTAAATTTGTAAGTTGTTAGTTGCGTTTTATACATGCTAAATTATAAATTTATAAGTGATAGTACCTAAAGTATATGGGATATTATTGGGATGTAACTATATAACTTTATCTATTGATTTTTAAATTGTACATAATTGGATTTTTTGAATGTTATGTTTATTCATGTACAACATTTTTTTTTTTTTTTTGGTATTCCACCCGGTTCACCCTTTGGGCTAATCCGCATTCGGGGATCAGTTGTGGGTGGTTAGGTTCCAGTCCCCTCCCGATTGTTGTTTTTAGGTAGTTTATAGTGGTTTGACTTATTCAATCCATTACTTAGTAAAAAAATATGAGTGTTTGACAAGATAGTGATAGAAATAGTGTTTAGTGATTGGATTAGCTTTTGTGAAATGTTGGGTCTTAATTTTTACCAATAGTAGACCTTTATTTTTGTAAAAATTCTGAAACAATGTTGCAAAATTAAGAAGATAAGAGTAAATTTTCTTAAACTCCAAATTAAATACTAATTCCCCCTTGCTATTAAAAAAGGGTGCAATCTTAAACTTGATAATTTGATGAGCATATTATCATACGCTATGGAGAAGATGCGACTCATGTGAGAGTTCATTTTTTATTTAGGTTTTGCTCAATTATAACATTTCAAAATAAAATATGATTTTTTTTATTTTGAGTCTAATCCAATTCGAATTTCCATCAACTTTATACCAATCTAATCTATTTTAAAATTTAGATAATTTCAATATGATCAAATCCATTATATTAACATTGAAATGTTTCCTTAAAAAAAAAAAAAAAAAAAAAAAAAAAAAAAGAAATGTCACTTCTACTTTATTTGTGCGGTGGAATGTGGACCTTATTTTCTAATAATATAAGATTATATTGGACTTTAAAAACCTAAACTTGTAATAAAAAAAAACCGTATATGCTTGGTGATAGCGTTTGTGGTAGCATTTAGCGTTTTGATTGGTTAAAACATTATTAGAAAAAAAATTGAGAGTGTTTGGTAAGGTAACGGTTCTAGTAGTGGTAAGTGATAGAGATAGCTTTTTTCAAACTATAAATAGTAACATATTAGTGTTTGACAAATTTTTATTACTTTTTTAAACAATATTTGTATGAATTTTGATATATTTTAGGGCATGTTCTCATCGGATTATTTTCACTTCAATTCATTTCAATTTAGTTCAGTTAAACTCTAATAAGTTCAGTTCAGTTCCTAATTTCCTTCTCTCATAAAATATTCATTTTAGTTCAGTTTTATACAATTCAATTTAGTTCAGTTCAGCTCTAATAAGCTTAATTTAGTCCAGTTCAGTTCAGCTCATTTCAGTCAATGAGAACATACCCTTAGTATTGCAACTGCTATTTTTACCAAGCACTCATACTATCAACTGTTACTTTGACAGCTAATTTCTACTAACTATTAATTGACAGCTACTCATTACCTTAAGAACATAAAAACATAAAGACGCCAAGTATTTAATGTTCCTTAATATAGAAATATGTGTTCTTTTAAGAATAGGATGTACATCATTCATTCACCCATGCATATATATGATCTTATTTGATTTGTATCTTACTTTATCAAATTCGCCTACATAATAGCTCATTATATTTTTTACTAAGATACTTAAATTAAAATACCCTAAATTCTAATAATCTAAATTCCAAAAATATTTTGATGTGCCATCACAATTCACAAAGTTTTAAACCTTACCTTGTCCACAGAGTTAAAAGATTACGACTTTTCAATCCAAACAACTTATTTGATAAAAATGACACTGATTTTTGTAAAAGAAAAAAAAAAATCAATAATAATTGCTCCATCACTTGTCCTCCCTTCAATATATACCAATCATAGCACACTCATTTATCGGTTGCTCCAACTCTGCTAGAAGAGGTACTACTACTGTTAGTCTGTTGTTCCAACAGACTGACTGAGTACATTCCTCTCTGTAACACTACAAGAATCCGCGCTTCTTACTCAAAACTCGATATCTTATTAACCATGAGTACCCATTGTAAGAAAACAGCAAATGCTGTTGGAGGAAAGACGGCACGGGCGTGCGAAAGCTGCCTTAAGAGGCGCGCTAGATGGTTCTGCGCCGCCGATGATGCTTTCCTTTGTCAGGCCTGCGACTCATCAGTCCATTCGGCTAATGAGCTCGCAAGCCGACATAATCGAGTCCGCCTCGAGTCTAAGCTAAACCCACAACCATCCCCTTCGTGGCACCAGGGGTTCACGAAGAAGGCGCGAACCCCTCGTGGTAACAACAATGCTAAAACCAACAAACCTTCTTATAATAACTACGAGATGCGTGTTGTGCCGGAGGTTTGTAATGAAGATGATGATGATGAAGGATCGATCGAAGAAGATCGAAATGAGGCGGTGTTTAGTGTTCCGAACTTGGAGGTTAATGATCCCTTTGAAATTAAGGAGTTCAAAAATAGTAACAACAACAAAAGTAGTGTTGTAGAAGGTGGTTTTGAAGAGGATGATTTCAACATCTCGTTGATTGGTTTTGAAGGAGATAATAACAATGAGTGGGAAAACTATTTACCGGCGGGTTTTTTACCCTCCGATAACGATTTAGCGGAGTTTGCGGCGGATGTTGAGAGTTTGATAGAGCACGAGGCGACCGAGGAGGGCGGAAAAGGAGGCGATGAGGAGGCGGATGATGAGCTACAACTTTTATTTCCGGGTGTTAAAATCGAAGAAGAGGGGGATATTAGTGCTACTACTGATCATTGTTACTTTGATTGGTCAATTGATGTTGAAAGTGAAATGTTTAATTTTGACTTAAATCAAACTTATGGAAATAATAGTAATCATGATCAGTCTCAAGTTAGTGGTGTTGAAGAAGATGAGGAAGAGGATGGTAAGAAAGTGGTGGTGCCAAAGCACGAGGCGACCGAGGTGGAGGAGGAGCTAGAGGGAGGTAAAGATGTGGAAGCTAATAATAAAAGGAGGAAAATACTATTGAGGTTAAATTATGATGAGGTCATTAATGCATGGGCTAGCCAAGGTTGTTTATCACCGTGGACCACCGGGCGGCGGCCGGAGTTTGAATTTGACCATCATGGTTGGCCCTATTGCATGGTAAGATTGCTCCCTTGCCCTTGTTTGATCACTTCTTGTTATTGAGCATTATTAGGTTTAACTATTTAAGATCTATTTTTGGAAGTTTACATATATTACCCTTTTGCCTATTTTTGGAAGTCTGTCTTTTGCCCTTATGTTTGCCCTTTTATCTACATTTTTAAGGCTTATCAGTTTTCTAGTTTGTATGCCTAGTGCCAATACATTTGAATTTGATTATTATTTCATTTCATTTTTAAATGAAACCATTTCGAAAGCTATCTCTAAGAGGCATTATGATTCAATTTTGAATATGTATGAAAAAATAACAATCTTTATTTTTTATTTTTTAACAAGTCTTCATTGGATTCAATTTTTTTAATCTACATATTACATTTTTTACAATGTAAAGACACAATAAGAGTGATTTTCACAAGACTAATACTCTACATATTTTGGGACAATTGTCTTGCTTTGACATTAATTTCATGATCTATATTTAAATAATAAATTTATAAATCTATCCGAAATATAAAGCTAGAAATTTTTTTCTAAAAAAATAAAAAATTCAACATTGGTTTAATTTAGTTGATAGTATTTTGCAAAATCAATGGTTGAATGTTGAGCTAAATTACTAAGACTATTCATTGAGTAATCCAAATATCAAAATTCCTAACCCATGAGGTGAAATTTCACCCCTAAACTTCTACTTAACGAAAATATATTTTATTTTAAAAAGCATGAAGTTTGATTAATCAATATTCAACAAACTTGAATCTGCAATTTGATTTTGTCCGATTTTGTCAATTTAAACTTTAATTAGCAATTTGATTTTGTCATTTTAATCAAACTTTTTCTTTCTCTTTTCATGTTGATTTTTATTAGGCATATGTGAACTTCTTAAAAAGTTAAACACACTTATGATTGTGTTTTGAATTCATTAAAGCCTTTTGTTTGTAGATTTGATAGCCCTAATAAACTATTGGTATCTGTTTGAACTTTATTAAGGAACTAGTTCAATTATTTATACAGAACATATAATGTACTACTCGTACTTATATAAGTATATTTTTAAATATTGTTATTTAACTGTATTAAGTAATTAATTATCTGGTTTCAAAAAAAAAAGTAATTAATTATCTTTAAGAGCTAACTATTTTTTCAGCCTATTTATTACAGGTATAATATACAATTGAAAGAGATTGTAGTAGTGTAGTGATAAGTACCAGTATTTAAATTTATTCTATGTGTATTTATGTTTTAAGTATGGAGTATATGTTTAATGTTTAGTAGTTTTTTTTTTTTTTTTTTGGCAATATAAACTTTATCATGCCACATTTTAGGGTGACTCAATCCCACATCATTGCATTGAATACCTTGTAGATAATATACCAATAATACCATGACTCCATGAGCATGGACCATTCAATATCTGTAGTGATTTGTACATTTGGATATTGATGTGACCAAATAGCTTATGATAATCATACTTAAGACCTTAGCTTTGTTCTAGGAAGTAAGATACCCCGTATAGCTTACGCTAAAATAATATAAGAACGTACAACCTTAATTATTATGTTCATCCAAATTTCGTTGTTACATTACTAATATTTTAATATTCACGGGATTACTTTTGGCAGGGAGGTATGTTCCCGACCGGAGTTCCACACCCTCAAGGAGAGGGATGGATGGGAATGAGAGGAAACGCGAATGGTGGGGACGAAGGGAGAGAAGCAAGAGTATCAAGATACAGAGAAAAGCGAAGGACAAGATTATTTTCAAAGAAGATAAGATATGAAGTTAGGAAATTGAACGCTGAAAAGAGGCCTCGATTGAAAGGACGGTTTGTCAAGAGAACATCTCTTTCACAAGTAGTAGGAGTTGGTGTTGAACCCACTTTCCCTAATTATCACAATAAATAACAATTAGCATGTAAATTAGTCTTTGTTTAATTACTACTCCTATATATTATTGTCAAATAATCCTAAATTAATACCAAGTACTTAACAAGTTTATATATGAAATCTCGTGGGCATATATGTATGCGGTGATGCTAATGTAACGGCTCAATACTTTACTTAGTTGTAATAAAACCAATTACAATTATGGCATGAGTGCATAAATTATTTGCTTTTAATGAACTTCATGGACATGAGTGTCCAAGGTCTTGTTTCAAAATATCGATTATTAGCTTTACTCCATAATATACGAAGTATACCACGGATATACTTTAGTCATCTAATGATATTATTATGTACTGCCTCCATTTTTAAATACTTGCTCTACTTTTCTTTTCCGGCCGTTTTTAAATACTTGCTCTATTTTCTTTTTTAGGAAAGTTTTTACAATATTTAATTCATTTCTCACACTTAGTGGACCCAACATAATACTCTCTCTCCTCCTATTCTTCAACTATTTTTGTTTTTATAATTTTTTATTTTCTCAAGTACCCCACTACTTTTATATTTTATTACTTTCTCCAATTTCTCCTAAAACTCCGCGCATGGAGAAATGGAGCAAGTATTTAAAAACGGAGGGAATACATTAGTACATTGCTCCAAAAAAAATGTACATTAGTACATACTCTTTCTATCCCTTATCGTTTGCTCCAATTTCCTTTTTAGTCAGTTTCTTTTATTTTGCCTCATTTTATTTTTAGACATTGAACCACACATTTACTCTCACAACCACTCTATTAAATCCTACCACTTTTCTCTTTCATCATTCTTTTCCAACCAAAAGTTAATAAAGCAACTTATCTCTATGGAGCAAAAAATAAGGGACGAAGGGCATGAAGCGAGTAGTTTTTTTAATGGAGTGACAATATTAGTTTTTGTATATGCAGCAGAGAACTTTAAGCATGGTTAATGTTAAAGATAGTCGAATTAGATGCTAGTTGTTGGCTTTTAATGCTAAGATAGATATAAATCATTTTTCTATTTTTCCCCCTTGAATTTTGAACATCAATAAGGTTAATTGGTTTTTATTTTGTTAGATAGTTGGTATTCAAGCTTGATTTGATAGTAATAGTTCTACCATAGTTGCCAAGAGGTTGGGAGATTGAAATAATTGTAATAGTTCTACCATAGTTGCCAAGAGGTTGGGAGATTGAAAACCATTGGAAGACTTTCTTTTCTAATTTTGATATAAAATTGTGTGCATAAGACATGTGACATTCTTATGTGGAAGACGGGTCATTATCAGTGGAGGGAACCACATCTTGGGTACTTGAGAGTGACACAATTATTTTTTTATGATAAAATATCCTTATATTATACAACCAGGACATTCTTATTGTTAGATTTCGGGAAAACTCCTTGATTAGAGTGATTTCCATTGATCAATATTTATAGAGTTACAATGAGAAACCTAATCATATTGGGTAACTATAAGATATGTACAGATATCAAAGATAATCTTATACAAAATATATCCTAAACCTAGGATGAGAATATTCTATGGATATTCTCTATCACACCCCCGCAGTCAGAGCGGGAGAAAATCGGATGCTCAGACTGGATCTGAATCACGCATCGAACGGTAAGGATAGTTTAGTAACCCATGATCAAAAGAGAAAGTAGTAGAAATGTGCCGGTGATGACAAGAGAAGCAACAGCCACGACCTACATAGAGTAGAGATAAGCACTGCTAGGCCGGAGGAGAAGGAGAAGAGCCGCACACAGACTTGGGCTAAGTTGCAGATCCAGAGAAGAAGAAGCTAAGGTATCAAACCATCATCGGGAAGAAGACACTACACTACTACGTGAAATCACAGTTGAAGAAAAATAAATAAAATTGCGCAAAAAAAGATTAAATCCCACCGCTTGAAATTAATCAATTCTCAGAAGAGAAATCAGGTAGCAAGAAGTAATACTCCACAAAGATTCCAAGTGCTGCAACAATAAAAGGAGCTAACTTGATAGCAAAAGAGATGTGCAAAAGTTGACCTTATTGTGATATACCACCACCCAAACAAAATCTATGTGATTATGTGTTAAAAAAACCAATGAGGCAATGTAAGAATCATTGTTGGTCATGGGGAGGTGGAAATAGAGTGCGGCACATGGAGTAGGTTGGCAGATGTGGTTACTGCCAGTAGTGGGAGGCGGTAGTGTATGCGATTGCCAACAATGATGGAGGAGGCTTTCGCGATTGCTACTGTTGGTGGGAGGCGCAAGGTTACATAAAGATTCTAGAAAAAAAAACTTTGAGAAAAGAAAAAAAAAAATCTATGTGTGTTTGCGGAAGCATAAAAAACTTTGTATATCCCGCCGGTGGGTTTAATTTTCTAACCCACCGGCAGGGTGAGAATTTTTGTATATAATCCCAAGATCTAACCTAAGCTGTGATACCATGTCAGATAATATAAACTCCTTGATTAGACTGATTTCCATTGATCAATATTTATAGGGTTATAATGAGAAACCTAATCATATTGGGTAACTATAAGATATGTACAGATATCAAAGATAATCTTATACAAATTATATCCTAAACCTAGGATGAGAATATTCTATGGATATTCTCTATCACTTATTTCTAATTGTATTGATGGTATATACTTGATGAGTAAAATATGTTTGCAATGAGAGAAATATCAACCCTTCTTGACCAAAAAGACTACGAGTATGCAAACTATATATGATATTAAAAAGAAAAATTATTTTGTTTAGCTAACAAATTAATAATGTTGAATTGGGCTCACTGTGATGGCATTTTGTAATGGTCCTGGTGTCATTGGAAATATTGAACCAACACCTCTTGTATTAATTGCATCAATTGCAACGTAAATGCCTCCGGTAATGAGCATCGACTGTGAAAAGTCGAAATATTCCACTTATGAGAATGATTGTAAAATTCAATGCTAAGTATTACGTGAAACCATGATATTAGTTTAAATGATGTGGCATTCGGCTAAGGAAAACTTAAAATGTTTAATATTTATCGATCTTTTTACGTATCCTTCGATTAAAAATAAATTATATAAAAGTCTTTTAAAAAATCACTCGCTCGCATAATTATAAGTGTTAAATATGTTCAATATAATATACATGCAATATTTGTACAATATATATGCTCGTATATTAAACATATATATAATTCATACGCTTCTCTTAATTAAGTAATGGTTTCCAATATTGTAATATGTAACTTATTCCCTTAAATTTTTGGGATTATTAATGAATCATAAAAGTATGTGGTTTTGTCTTAATGTCTTTTAATCTTTTGAAATTAGGAAAATTTGTCAAAAATAAGTCAACCTTTGCTTAGTTAGCTCAAAATAAGCTAACTTTTCGATTAACTCAAAATATTAGTCGACTTTTAATGGTAATTCCTTTTCATAGGTCAATTGACCTACAACCTACCAAACATGTTATTTTTTTAATTATAAATAATTTAATAAATTTATTATGTTTAATTAAAAATATATTAAATAAATAAATTAAAAAAATAGCTCAACCCCCTCCCCACACCACTGCCAACCCCCTACCCTGCCAACCGCCGACAGACGGCCAGAGGCCAGCAACCACTTCCCTCCCTCGGCAACAGAGACCACCTCCCTCCCCCGGTGCCGACGTCACCAAGCTCTCCCTTCCCCTTTTCCTCATTCCCGTTCTGACCTTCCGCTTTTCCTCATTCCTGTTTTCCCCAACCCCTTCTCCTCCCCCTTTCTCCCTTGTCCCCACCATGAATCGACCCTCCTAAAAACGTGTAATCCCCTGTATTTTTAAATATTTTATAAATGAAAATTTATTTTATTTATAATATTTAGTTGTTATTTTTCATAATTTAATTTTAAAAGTTTCAAATTATTAATCTGGGTCGAAAATTATTTGAACAAATTATTTTATGCACCTTTATTCTACAATTTATATCCAATCACACAAGCCTAACCCATTTGTTTACTTAATCGACCCATTATTTTTATGAGGCCCAATCTTTCTTTTTACCCTACAATAATTCTCTCCTATAAATACCCCATGAATCTCCAAAAATTTCCCACACAAAAAGGTTAGTCTTATTTTCATCCTCCTTTGTTTCATTATTTTGCTTAATGTTAATTTAATTGTTTTGGGTTTTGATTTTAGTATAAAGATTATATTTTTAGTATCAAATTATATTTTAATGGTATAAAGATTATAATTTTCAGATTATATTTATGTTATAAATTTCATATTTTATGAATTATAAACCAAGGGTTTCAACTTATTGAAAATCATGATTTTAGGGTTTTTATGAACAATTGATTTAGGGCTTTTATAGTAATGATGTTTTGAAATTTTAGTGATTATAACTACTGATTAGTTTAACTTAATTCCAGATTATTTTGAACACGTAGATTCGTGTTTTAATTTTTAGATTTTCGTTCGTTAATATTAATCCCGTTTTAATCCCGATCAGATTCTGAACTCATCCGATTTTGATGAAAAGGTAGTGTTTTCCATGTGGAAACAACATTTTAAGAAAGACTCACTTTTTCAGCCTCTAAATATGATTTTCGGGCAGTTTTTGATTTTAACAAAGTTTTTTTATACTTAAAATATTATCCTTGAGTTTGATTAATAAAATTAATTATGTTTAAAGTTAATTAAGCATAAATACATGTTTTTATTGAAGTTTTAAGTGTTGGAAATAGTTTCTAAGTACTACTTTTGATGTTTTATAAAGAGGGTTTAATCACCCATTAAAAAGGGAGATTTTTAGGGGTTTTTATATAATTTTCAGATTTTTATTAGACTTTGAACTTGTTGTAATTTCATGTATAAGAGTGTATTTTAAGGTTTTTATGAAGAAAATTTAAAGAACTATATATAAGCCTTTACTTTTAACTAAAGGGAAGGTTTTAAAGTGTTGTTTGATTTGGATTTTGAAGGTTTTAAAATAAGTTAGTATTGCTGTAAATTTGATTGATTGGGTATTGATTGAGATGTTATTATTTGGCTTAGGAGAGGAGTTTATTGAAGGTGATTTCTAGTTAATAAAGTGGCATACCAATTCGTTTGCTCAAGGTACGTACAAGTTACGAAACCTTTCTTTTAGGTGCATGTTTAAGGACGACGGATCGAGAACTTAGTATAATGTATAGGGATGACTGAGTTAAATTGTTTGGTTATACATTGTGAATTTCGTATGACGTGCA